GAAATTTCTATATTGTCTTATCCTACAATTTGCTTTTTGCTATTGTGACAACACTGTGTCTAGTCAGAAAATTCACCTCCGCTGTCCGAGAAGAGCTGTTCAAGGCCCTAGGTAATCATCAGGTGTATGAATGCTTTCTCTCCTTCTACTAATTGATAATTTTGACATTTGAGTTAATTTGAAATCTTCACTTACTCATTTTCCCAAATGTGCGACCCCTTAGCGATCACGTCCCCAAACCTGCTTGTTGCTTACGCTCTGGTGTAAAATGACCTCTTAGCCTCAGCTTCCTTGCCTGTAAAATGGTGATATCTTCCTGTTTTTAGGATGGTTGTGAATATTAACTGAAATAATTCTTGCAAAGGCCCGAGCATTGTCCTGGGACATCGAAAGGGCTCAGAAAACAGTAGCTCTTATGGTTACGAAGACGGTAGTCGCGGTGACGTGAGTGTGACAGAGTGCTGAAGGCTTAGTTTTGGTAATGATACCTCTGACTGGTTTTCAGTTAGGGATTTCTTGAGGCGTGGATTTTACAAGTGTCAGGCTGACCCATAATTCTCTTCGGTAAGCTAAATAATAATTCAGGATAAAGTATTCGTATTCTTGGCATTCATAGGATGCATAGTCCAGGAGTCACACGCTTTGTGACAATATGGAGAACTCCGAAGCCTGGCTGAAGTATGAAGGTTGTAAGTGTAACCCAGGAGTGTGTCTTCATGCTCAGCGTTAGCACTAACCATATTTCAGCCTCTCATTGGAGGAATGTAAACCAGGACAATATAAACTGTTGTGCTCTATACACCCTCTTGGGTTTGGGCCGTGTACTTTTATAATAAAAGACAGGAAAGGCAGTGATGTAGTGCAGAAAATCCTGACATTAGCTCACGGACGAATTGACATCATTTGAAGGTGAGCATTCTATGTTCCCCTGTGGCTTTTAGCTGCTGCAAAAGACAACAGTACCCTCGAGTCGCTGAGGCCGTTTTCCACATCACTGAAGCCTTACGGCAGCGGTAAAGCTTTGCAGCCACCAAGGCTGTCCAAGCCCCATGATTGAAAGGATGGCCTTTGGGAGGAAAAAGGATTTCATTATCTCTTCATATGTGTTTTACTTTATATTCACTGTGAGGGACCGACTGATGAAATATTGGCCTGAAAGGGAAAAGTTACATCTCATTTCAGCGGAAGCACAAGCACGTGGATGGATTTTAATGCCCAGGTTCCGTGATGCTGGCCAGACGTCATCAGACCCTTCTCTCAGCCGGGAGTCCAGCTAACCCTTCATTGTTAATCCTGATGTAATATTAGCAAGATTGGCCAGCCATCATCTCAGATCAGTTCCTGCTTGGCATTCACTGCCTGAGACGGTGGTCCAGGTCCTGCAGGGACGCCTGCTTGGAGTCCTGGGCGGCGGCGTCTGGCTGGGGAGGCCTGTGTCCAAGTGGCAGATGTAACCTGACCCCGCGGAAGGCCCGTACTGTTGGCCCTGCCTGTAGAGGCAGTGGGGTGATTAGACATGCAGAGCCACCCGATAGTGTTGGGTTTCCCCAACGTTTCCGCACTTCTTTGCGGTACTGTAAGGAAGCGATGCCTCACACGCAGGAAGAGGCCCCCTTGGTACCCATGTCGTGGGGCGAGCTGAGGCCTCAGGCGGGGGTGTCACTGGGCTCGTAACGTGAGCACAGTGTGCCCATCCCCTCCCTTCCCTTCCTTGTAGGTGTGTCTGCTGCTGTGTCACTGGTAGTAAACAGTGCCCATGTCACAGTCCCTGCAGGGCACCTGGGAGACTCTCAGCGTAGCTGTCGGGATGGCGGTGGGGCGATCGGTCCTACACAAGACAGACGTCATGGGTCCTCAGAGCCTGCCTGTGCTGCCCCAAGTTGCAGGAGGAAGCAGCTGAAATAACCTACCCAGAGGGGGTTCTGTGCCAGCCTGGGTGTTGACCCCTCACAGCTGGTCTCCCCGACCCCTCCCATACCCACAGCCACCAGCGTGGGTTCCCGTCGGCACTCAGTGCTTCGCCATCCCTAGGCCAAAGCCTCTTTTTGTGTTACATTCAGTTTTTCCTTCCTGTTCATCCATCACAGCCAGGCTCAATTTTATCTTTCTTTTCATTAAGATGTGCAGGCGATAGAAATTTTTCAGTTAGGAGTGTTATGTTGGCTTAAGAGTGATATAAAATTGCATAACTGTCAGGTAGATAACCATCCTGAATTTTAGGGGGAAAATAATCTTATCCAAATATGTTTCTAAGCTGTCACAAAGATCTAAGCCTCATAAAAGCTGTTTCCTCAGAATCTCTTCCATACATGTGAGTGCCTTTCTGCCTCACAGATTCAGAGGCCTGTAGCTTTACTCTCACAGGGACTCTTAGACTTTCTGCAGTGTTCTGTGTACTAGCTACAGCAGGTAAACAATCGCTGTGTGACACAGGGAGCTTAATGTCACTTACGGAGCGGTACTTTGTTAGTCTCTGACTGTTCCTGAGTACTGAAATATTATTTATGTTCAACTGGTTCTTTTGCCAGTTCTTCCTCTTTTTCATAATGGTTTTCATGGTTTTTCTTGTTAATTACATGATTAACATTTTGGTGTGTCTTTCATATGTTTTCCTGTGTGTACATATGTGTTTGTTTATGTTTTAAAACAAAGTAGGATCATACTTGTCTGTGGTCAGGCTCCCTGGGGGGCGCACTCTGAGATGGGAACAAGCTTACAGGAGGCTGCTTGGGGTGCTCTTGGGGTCAGTGCAGAGGGCGGGGAGAGGGACGGTGCACAGATGGGCCATGTGTCTCTCACCAGAAACCCCAGTGGGCCCTGGGGGTAGTGAGGAAGGGATGGCCCTGGAGCCGGAACCTCACTGGTTGGAGAAAGGGGGTGAGTTCCCACCAGGCAGCTGCCTCCAGCTTAGCCTCTGCCCCCCCGGGAGCTGCCAGCAGGGAGAAGAGACTTTCTCCCTAAGGGGGTCTGGCTAGTACCTCGGTTTCCATGGTAGCACTTTATATTCGGCCTTGTTCATCTCCCTACTCTTTGCCCAGCACTGTACGAGCATCATTTCTCACCATTTTCTTATTTTCCTGCAGGGCTTCATAAGCTCCACTTATCAGATACTTCAGGGGACCCAGGGACAACCAAGCCTTCTGCAAATGGGCACCAGAAAGCACTGTGAGACCCAGCACCGCCTGCAGCCGGCACCCTGGGCACCGCACCCCCAGCACCTGGCAGCCAGGCCACAGTCGGCCTGGCCTGTGGCCGTCCTCATCCCAGAGTGTCCTGAGCGCTTGGCCGGCGCAGGCCCTGTGCTGTCCAGTTGCACATGGGTGCCTTTGGGCAGCACGTTCCTCTGTGCCCGTTTGCTCCCACCAGCCGGCAGTCACCCCCTTGGGGATGCCAGAAAGGCTGGTTTCAGGCTCTTAAGGATTCACTGGAAGCCACCGCCGATGCTATTCAGAACCTAGAAGCCTGCGTGAGAGGCGTCTTGGTGCTGGGACGCGAGGGGAGGTGCTGCAGAGCGTGAGGCTCATCGACGTCCTCCTTGCAGGGGCGTGTGAATTGTAAGAGCCACAGACGATGTTTTCTCTTAAAGAAAAAGCACAAGGCGTAGTTCTGGTTTGTGTTGTGGAGCGATGCTGAGTGGACTTCGAGTCATGGGAAGACAGGAAATTCCTCTGAAGCCTGCGCCTGGGTGGAGTGCCATGGGAACGCCTGGTCTGTGCAGTGTGGGACACAGCAGTCGGAGGTGTGTGTGGGCGGGTGCCCCAGAGTCGGAGCAGGAGCTGGCGTTTCCTCTGTGACACAGCCGCCTGTGCTGACTCTGGACCGAGACTGTCCTTCCAGGCACAGGCACTTGCCGTTCTAAGCCTTTTTTCAGAATCCCCAGTTCCTTCTGCTCCTGTGTCCCCTCTGAGACCACACACGCTCTGTGGTAGAACCCTTGTTCCGCCACGTTCTGCGCTGTGGCCACTTTTGTATATGCCAGTTTGACCCTCAGACATGAAGGTTACCAGTTTAACACCCAGACACACAGCACCAGCATTCCCGGTGCAAGGACCGTTTTGCAGTGATCATTCACTTACAGATTGTAAATAGTCCTGGGGGTGGTTTCTTGACTGGAAGTCCACTGAATAAAAACCATAAGATTATCATCCTGTGTTAACATCCACTGGGGCAGAATACCAAAAATTGTGCCCACAGAACACGAGATGGGCCATTTGCACACAATTCGTAGTCATCCCATTTCTGTAAATACATGTCACATGCACTGTGTCACATGCACGATGTGTCATATGAACCACATGTGTGGCAATTGATAGTCTGTGTTCAGACAAGAGTAAAATAACATTTTTCTCAAATTGTTGAGTTTAAAGCCTTTTTGGGAGGGAGATATTTATGAAAAAGGGGCTGCATTACTTGATGTCCAAAATTTCCACTTAGAGCCAAAATAATAAGAACAATGAGTCTGTATGTTTGTAAGCTCCATGGAGCTTACATGTCCTTTATACCTCTGCATTTCCTTCTGGGCTCCTCTTGTTAAAGTGCAGCTTAGTTTTTAAAAAAGAACATCTTATGATTGTTCACAACACCCGGTAAATACCACTAGTCCTCGTATTGGTGACTGTCCCAGCGTCGGGCCCGCACACTGAGAACCCAGTAAAACTGGCTGCTGTCAAGGTCATGGGCACTCAGCCCTCTTGACGCATCAGCTGCCAGCTTTGCGCCTCACTGGGACCTGCCTGCCGTCCATGCTGTGAGCAGGCCAGCTCAGAGGGCGTGGAAGAGACTTCTTCAAATACAAGAATAACATTTTTAAGTCACACCGATTTCAGGGCACGTCCGGAGAAAGTGTTCCTGGGCATTTGTAAGATGTCTGAACCTTTTTGAGTAAATATTAAACTTTTCAATGTCTGTATGAACTCTGTCTATTGGAAGTTTCTGTCTGAGGACCTGAGACCTCGGATTAGTAGGCGGTAATGTATATTAGCAGCTCCTAAGGCTTATTGTCTTTGTCGCTGTTGAAATGGGACACCCATCATGTGGCAGGATGGTGAGAACCTGGGGTCTTAAATACACATTGTTACAGGCTTGGGCTCCCGTGCAGTTACAGCCACTTGGGGCTGTGCCGACAGCGCGTGTCCCGGTCACACACTCAGGCAGCTTCCCCTGGAGGGAGGGGCGCATCCCACATGCAGGTGCGTCCGTGGACACACACCGTGCCAGCTGTAGGAGCCTGTGACAGAAGTGGGTGGTGGCCCCCTGAGGCCTGGCACTGGACACTGGGAAGGACAGGCGCCCTTCGGGTCTCCTTGGCTGCAGATGTAGCTGGTGAGGGCACAACACCAAGGTGGGGCCTGGTGGGGCGCGCCCATGACGCTCCTCGCACTGGCCCCTGGCTCCCTCCACCCCCAGCTCGGTGCTGTCGTCACAGTTTCTTAAGGGGACCTGGCCAGGGCTCACATTAATTGGTTCTGCAATATTGAAATAAAGTATTTTAAAATTATTAAATTTACAGAGTATAACATTGTTAACGATTTTTACTGATTTTCCAAGGTATTTCTTAGATTTATCTTTACTTAGCTTTATATGCATTCTATACAGAATAGACCTCTAAATAGGAGACTTTCTGTGAACATTTTACACACCCGAGTGTGAGCTCCATCTCACTGGCGGACGGGGTCAGTGGATGAGGGTGGAACCTTCATGTGGCTCTGACTCTGGAACCCCAGCACGCCCTGAACTTGCTGCTGTAGCCTCGAAGCTCGAGCCTGCTGACAGCACGTGCTTTCGCTGGGAAGCCCAATGTGGCTTTCTTCGTGGTTAGCAGAGCACATAATGCATAAAGGCAGAATTCTTACAGTAACTAAAAAAATATGAGCATGCGTGAGTGTTGACTTTTTAAACTTTAAAAAATCTGGTTTTATGTTCAAAAATGTTTTTTGTTTACAGTGTTTTGTTTACAAATTGTCAGTCTTGTTTGTTTCTATGAGATACTTCCACTGTGACTTTTTAAATGTCTTAGAAATTAAAGTTTTACAAAAATGAGTTTTTTGGTTTACAGGCACTCAAACGTATGGTTTAAAAAATTTTTTTAAATAGTCATGTCTAAGGGTCTATATAGGTTACTTCTGTTTCAATTTTATAAACGGCAATAATTATTCTGGTGCCATGTGGAATTGAGGAAGAAGTGGGTATTTTCTCTTTCCTTTTGCTGTGGAGTTATTGGTAGATCGATTTCTTGCCACCTGAAAGAAATGTAACAGCAGTAATTGGAATTGTGTATATTGTTTAGTTGTTTGAGTTATTTGGATTTGGTTCCTCTAATCTCTTCCTAGAAGACCTGGACCACCTAACTGTGTCCACACAGCTTTATCCCGAGTTCCCGGAAGACTACGTGACACCAGCCTCTGACTGATTCCCTGACAGGAGCTTTTACACCTGTGGCTTTCAGTCTCTTTGGCTTCAGGAAGACACATTTTACATTGTAACTCAGCATAAGGTATACTTCGATACATATAAACCAACATTTAACAAAACAGTACCTACTTTTACTATGTGATGTTCTGCTGGCAATTTCTGTTCGGTTCTGTTATTACTTTTTAAAATTCTAGACACAAACCCCTAAGTTGTTTTCTGACCTACTAATAGATGGTAAACCAGTTTGAAAAACGTGACTTTGGAATCTGAAAGAACAAATACAAAGACCCTTTTTTGGCTTGTGAAAATTGTTCAGGTAAGATTCGTGATTACAAATACCACTGAGGCAAAATTATCAACATGCAAACAACTTGTACTGCAAAAATGTAATTAAAATCAGTAGAAGTTGCAAAAACTGAAAAACGGATTATAAAATTTCAAAACTAGATTGATCCATATGCCGTGAAGGGGCAGAGCTAGGAGCTAGCTTTCAAAAGTTATTTAACTTCCAATTCTGTGTAATTGAATTAGGAAAACGTTTTTGCAAGTTCAAATGTAACCACATAGGAAATTCAGACAAAAACCCCAGTCATTTTTGGACACGACTTTGGTATCACGTCCTTCTGAACATGTTAAAGAAGTGGCTTTCACAGGAGGCAGCAGCTAATGTCCATGGTGTCTGAGGACCAAAGTGAGACAGGATGTGGGGAGGCAGAGAGTCAGACGGGGTGCTGAGAACCAGAGGAAGTGCTTTACCAGTTAATGAAATGCTGCATGATGTTGTGATGTCTTTTCCTTTGGGAAGCTATTATTAAAAGAATGCGCCACTTACAGATGGTGGCCCTGAGCATCAGGGATGTGGCCTGCGGTGGCAGAGTGCCACGATGCTGCGGGACTCCGTTCACGGCCCCTTGGACGCATGCACAACCCTTCTGTGTCGACTGGACAGTCTGCCTGGAGGGTGAGGAGACAGGTCCTCTGGTCTCTCCTCTGCCTACACCTCCCTCCTCAGAGACACTTCTTTTAAGGGTGCTTTCAGGTTACCAGCGTGCTGGTCAGACAAGCTGTGTGCAGCACCCATGTCCTTGGCGGAGCCTGGGACACAGTGGGACCGCCTGGCAGGCCCACTGCTGCCAATCAGAACTCCATGGAAACAGGCCAGTTATTCAGATGAAGAAAGGGAGTGATTTACTGCTCTGAGCAATCCTGACTGGTCCATGAAGCAACACATCAGTAAGTTACAGAACCCCTGAAACCCAAATTTTATTCTTTCCTCACTTTGAGCAGATTAAACTCATGAATTTGAAATTTTCTTTTTATGGACTAAAGAGTAAAACTGGATGGGCTGTCAGCTTTTACAGCATAGCTGGGTTTCCCCTGTACGACTAAGAGAACAGATTACACTGTGGCACTTAACCCCAACCCCCCCACAAGTCGTCCATATTTAAGCAGGGCTTCCCCCAAAATGGTATAATGTTTCCTGCCATGAGTTCAACTTGCAAGAATTTTCTTCTGGTAGCAAGAGCGGCAGACAGGACAGACGTGGAAAGGGGAGCCGTGCCCCCAGAACTCCTCCAGGGCGAGGAGACACTCGTGGTGAAACGTGTGTGAGCAGGACAGCAGTACGGTCTCCCGGGAGCGCTGGCCGCCGCCTGTCCCCGACGCCGCGTGGTGGCTGTCGCTGCTTGCTGAAAGTGGGGTCAGGCAGATGGGACACTCGCAGGCCTCCCGGTGCAGAGCCTGCAACACAGACGTGAGTGTGTCATGCAGGCCTCTCGTGGCACTCTACGAGGAAGTTTCCAGGGTGACGAGAACCGTATACCTGGCGACATGGATCTGGTGACAAGGACGGTTCACTGTGTGAAGATCACCTTAGTCACACAGACTCAAGGGTCAGGCAGGAAACCTGTCGGAGAGTAACATGCAGGCTGGCTTTCCCTTTGGAGTTTCACTGCTCACAAAATGGCACCATCAAAGCCGAATTTCCAACCAAAGGGCCTTGCAGTCACCCCGGACCGGGTGAGGAAGGTCCAAACAGCCTCCTAGTGCCAGCTCAAAGCACAGGCTGGCACTCCCGGGTCCTCTGACGAGCCCCTCCATGTCCCCTCCCGCGTCACCGCAGAGCCCTGTGGCCACGCTGCGCCGGGTCACTGACCAGCACCTACCTGCTTGTGGATTTTCTGCCAGGCCTCGTCTGTGAGCTCGCGGCCACACTTGTCCTCCAGCTGCTGCAGGACGCTGCGGTTTATGGCCAAGCAGCGGTCGATTTCTGCAAAGAGCTCGTCTATGTCCGTGTGGAAGGAGCGCAGGACACGGTGACTGATCTCTGTGAACTGAGGGACGAGGGAGGGAGCAGACTTAGTGCTGCCGGGCAGTTCTTGGGGGAGATGGAGGCACGCGCCTTCCAGGGTTCTGAGCACCTAATTTCACTGATTCCCCTCTAACCTCTGCTTTTGAACAATGCTTTTTGGGGAAATAGACCTCTAGTTACCTATTAGGTTGGTGCAAAAGTAATTGCGGTTTTGCCATTACACATAACGGCAAAAACCGCAATTACCTTTGCATCAATATAATAGCTCCATGTCCAGGTAATCGATGCCGAGAGATCACCAGAAAGGTTCACCTGGTTGTCAGCAAGGAATACATTGAAGTTAAAAGTTGGGAGGAGAAAGGAGTTAGAATTTTACAAAAGGAGGGCAGTCGTTGCTGGTTCGTGTCTGCTTGCCAGCATCCTCCCACTGTGGTTACAGATTATGAATTATCATTTTAATGTGACCATTAAAAAAAGGAAATCCACCCTGTTTTAAACTAGTTATCCAGCCTGCTTTTCTCACCAAGCTATAAAATCATAATTTGAAAACCCTTATTGCCTAAGGACCTTAAAAATCTCTTTACATAAGGTGATGCAATGAATTCATCGACAGTTGTATGCCCCTTTGCTGCAGGACAGATCTTCAGGATTTAAAATTCTGTTTTCCCTGCAGCATAAATATGGGGACAGCATATTACATTTTATCTCAAACTTTTAAAAAGTTTGCTTTGAAGGTATTATCCTTAAATTTAGTCTCTAATACTCGCCCAAGCTCAGTTCTTTCTATGAAGTACTATACTTTTGATACAAAAAGATTTAGAAAGGCCCAGTGATCTTAGGACAAATGATTTAGTTGCACATTATTAGTTGGTTGTGGCATGGCGTGCTATCACTTCCTGCTGGTAGGAAACCAGAATTGCCAGGATGAAGCAAAATTACTACCCACTCTCCTGCTACGTAGCGTATGGATTGGTGAATTCAATCCTGTGTGACTGGTCAGGTGGAACATGCCTATATAATGTAGATAATGGACTCATGGGTGGTTTCCCCCAGCAGGTTCATTTTTGTGCCATTACAAAGTAACAGTTGCTAATGGCAAAGGAGCATAACATAGTATCCTTTGGTCTCTTCTACACTCAGTTTGGCTGTGTGCCCTAATTTGGAAATATTTAGTACATGCTTTTTCTCCCTGTTCTCAGTGAATTTTAATCTTCAAAATTAGGAACTGTAAACCCTTGTGTATATGCCCTTCCGTTACGGTGTTATCACTCCTTTTTAAAAAAGTAAAGTCCTATATTTATTGATTTATTAGAAATTTAACATGTCTTAAACTTTAGTAGGGTTTTATTAAGACAATCATTGTTTTCGTTAGTGTTTTGGTTACAGGCGTACAGGTTTCAGATGGTTTGCCCATTTTCCGCTAAGGCCTGCATGATTTTTCAGGAACATACACATTAGCAGAAATGCCTAGATAGATAAGTGATGCTGTGATTACGAAGGGCTTCAAGATTCCAGAAGTCAGTCTCACATGGGTTGGGCAGGAAGAATATAGTTTTATGGATTTCAGTTAAGCTGTAAAGATCTGGATTATCAGAGTAGGACAGGCGTTCACTGCTGAGGAACTCTGGAGACTGGAAAGAGCTGGGGCATGGGGGTTCTACGTGAATGGTTTATCGGACTGCATCTGCTTTTATTATTTTTCTCTCCACAGTCTTTTCAAAGTGGGGTAGGATATGCTTAGGGAAAAACCCCTTTTAGTATAAATGTGTTTAGAACTTTGTAAAATGTAGGCCCTGTAAGCTGCTCTATCTAGATTGGCATTGCCCAACAGAAATGTAACCTGAGCCAAACCTGCACTCTTAAGATTTGTAGGATCTGCATTAAAACGTTTGTTGAGAGGGAAAATTAATTTCAATGTGTTTTATTTAACCTAAAATATCCAAATTATCTTTTGAAAGTGTACCAATTGAATAAACTATTAAAGGTATAGTTTGCATTCTTTTTTTCCTGGTAAGACTCTGAAGTCCCGTGGGTATTGTGCATTTCTAGCACATCTGAATTCGGACTCGACAACCACATGTGGCTCATGGCAACCTGTTCTGGACAGCGAGGCCGGTGGCTGCATCACTGGGGAGCGACCATGTCATCTGAGGCACGGAGAGGTACCTCGCCCAGAAACACACCAGCAGCCCCTTCGCCAAACCTCTGAAGATGGTGTAAACGGTGCGGGGTGATCTGCTGTTTGGAGGGTGTGACAGGAGTGCCTGTCCCCTTCCTCTCGTGCTCGTCCCTCCCCTGCACAGAGCTGTCTACAGAAGTCGGCGTCTCATCCAGAAACCACATTTCCGTTCCCTGTGCTAGGTGGGGCCACACGACATAGCTCTTCCAAGTGGAAATGGGGTTTCTCTGGCCGGACACACAGGTGTCTGAGGCCCAGGGGAAGGTAGAGGGAAAGGATGGAGGGGACAGTGCTCGTGTCCCACAGGGTGGCGTGCTGCACTCGTGAGACTGAAGCTTCTGTTTTCAGCGATTGAAATCAGAGGGGGGTTTGTTCCAGCAGTTAGAGGTGTCCTGACTCTGTGCGTACATCTGTCTCATGGAATTGGGCTGGATAAAAGAAGCTGAGCCTATCGGAATCGTGCACTTAGGTGCGTGATATGGGGACGTACATTGTAGATGGCGTAGCACATTCCAGCTTTCAACTCCAGTCAAGTGGTGGTTAATGACAGAGACGGGTCTGAGAAATGCGTCATTAGGCGGTTGCGTCATTGTGCGAACATCACACAGGCGCCTAACCCTAGGTGATACGGCCCACGGCACACCTAGGCTGGGTGGGAGAGCCTACCGATCCTGGGCTGCCACCTGAACATAACAGCAGGAAATGAATCAGGCACAAGTGACGTGACCAAGAGCTCCGGGAACACGAGATGCGTGAGGCTGCTGCCTGTGTCACACGGCCAGTTTTACAGCGAACTTTTCTGTTAAAGCGGAAGGGTACCCTCTAAAGTAACTAAGAAGTTTAGTGCAGTAAATACACACGCCAGTAGCATGGCCCTTTATTACTATCAAGTGTTGCTACTGTACAGTCATAGAGCTACACCGTTGTTGCCTTACAGCCGATTCCAAGACCACTCCCTCTGCATTAGCCTCTAACCCTATTAGTCTTGAGGGAGTGTCTCGGTATGACTGAGGCCCGGAAGCTCTCTCTGAGGCAGTGTCTCGGTATGACCGAGGCCGGTAAAGCTCTCTCTGGGGGGTGCCTCAGGTGTGACTGTGACCTGATGGAATGATAATAGTCATCTCCCCTGGGAGGACACAGTAACAAGGTGTCCTGGGGCTATGTGGTGGATGTATGAAGGCATAGCATTTGTTGGAATACAATGGGATATGTTAATGGAAAAAGGCCTTAAGGCACAAATCATACCCGGTTGCTAATTGACAGTTTTACTTCTTTGAAAATTCTCAATAAAAGCCAGGCGCTGACCCGATTTGGCTCTCAGTCTTCTCTGGCTGAGTCCCTTGGTCTCGCTCTTATCTTACTTCTGTCTCTTGTTCTTATTCAATCTGCGTCGCTCCTCTAGAGACCCATTTGCCCTTGCCACGCAGGATGTGACACATTACACGACCAGCTACACCGTTATGCCGTCAGCTACACCGTTATGCCGTCAGCTACACCGTTACATGGTCAGCTACACCTTTACGCCGGCAGCTACACCCTTACAGGATCAGCTACACCGTTACACCATCACCACTTATGCGTAAGCGAAGCCTTGCGCTGCGGCATACTACGTCATTACGGCGTACTACGTCACTACGGCATACTACGTCATTACGGCGTGCTACGTCACTATGGCATTGTGACAGGGCGGCTACACGTCTGCCGGCCTGCGCGGTTGCTAGGCAACAGGAATCCCTCCGCTCTACCCTCCTGTCAGGGACTCCGACGGTGTGTCCCAGTCCAGGGTCGCCTCACGCGCGCCTGGCGGAGTGCAGCGCTGAAGGCACCTCGGAAGCGGTGTCCGGCGCGTCACCGACGTGGTGTCCGAGCCCGGGACGGCGCGGCGCTGTGGTGAGTGAGCCTGGCGGCCCGTCGTTGGCTGGGCTCCCGGCGGGCGGTGGGCTGCGAGAGCCGCGCGTGGCCCGGGAGGAGGCCGCGGCGGCCTTCCGTGGGCGCAGGGCTGGTCCTCCGCGCCGCCGGCCGGTGTCGCCCGCAGAGGCGCCGGGGCTCCGCTCTCAGCTCTCCCTGTTCCCGCTGCGCTCCGGCGAGGACGTGGGGCGCGCAGAGTGGGGTTTCCGGACGCGCGACTTCCAGGGCCCCGGGCTTCCCTTCCTGCGCGTCGGGCCTCGGGTCCCCGGGCGCGTTCTCAAAGCGGCGCTGACCCCCGAGCGCCGCGCGGGGAGGACGCGCGTGCGCGGGACCGACGGGGGTCGCGCGTGCGCGGTCCCGGCGCGGCAGCGCCCGCAGGGGGCGCGTGAGGAGCGCGGGCTCTCGGGCCAGTCCCGGGGCGCCCAGCGGCTCGCAGGCTCCTGGAGCGCCGTGCTTCCCGGAGGCAGGGCCCCCGGCCCAGGC